CATCAGAGACTATAAAAGATTGATTCTATAAACCATATAAAGCAATGAAAGTGATTTTGGTGTAATCGTTGCAGTTTTTTCATGTTAGCCTATCTAAGCATTCTGTGTTAACAGCCAAGGACACTGAACTTTGTGTTCTTTTCTATCAAGGCCCCTGGGGGCATAGGAAAAATTAGTTGGGCTATATAGATTTAATTTAGGGATGGGTGTAAACACTTACCAGATTTTAAAGTTAACAAAATTATATTCAACAAATAAATATGAATATGCTTCAGTTTATGGCTCACTTAAAAGTGGAGGGAGAGGAATGATAGGACAACGCAGTAGTACGCAGGAGGGATGGATAATATGCTAAATAGAGGAAAGCCAAGTAGGCAGATTTGCTGACTGTATGTGAGAAGGGGCTGAAGTGGAGTGGGTAGATAGAGGTGTGGGCATTACTTCTAGTTATTTAAGCCACAGATCAGATGTTGAAGGCTAGAAATGTCTTCTAGTTCATTCTTAGTCAATATCTTTTTTTTTTTTTAAGAGGTGGGGATGTCACTGTGTTGCCTGGGCTAGAGTACAGTGGCTATTCACAGACATGGACATAGTGCATTACTGCCTCGAACTCCTGGGCTTAAGCTTAGATCCTCTTGCCTCAGCCACCCACGTAGCTGAGACTGCAGGTGCAATGCCACCTTGTCTGGCTTGAATTTATTTTTATTTAAAGATTCGGAATAACTGTCCCAGTGGAAATTTTGTGATTGGTACTTTCTCTGCTATTTTTCTCTATTCTTTGCTTATTACCTACTTTAGACCTAGGAATGCATCTTCCCTTACTCTTCGTAGCTTTGGGGCTGATTTCTGTTTAACCAGGGCCTTATAATTAATTTTGTGTTTGAGCTTTAGGATCTTATGTTTACCTCCTTGTACCCATGAACAGCCATTCCATGACAGGAGCTTAAGCTGGACTGGCCACTCCAGCCTGCTTCCACCATAGATCTCACTGTGACATTTCTCAAGACTACAGATTTTTGACTGCCTTGTACGTGGTTCTAGGAGCACTAGGTTAGAGGAATAGCAGATAGACTCCACATGACAGCATCATAGGGAAAACCAACTTTTGCCACACCACTTCCACTGCTACAGTGAGTCAGTAGCATCTTCATATAGAAAAGTGGTGTATCCAACTGAATACAAACGTATGTTGTACCTATGGCGATTCTGACTGGGATTTGGACCCATCAGAGGTCCATGTTTGCTTTTATCTGCTCTTCTCCCTTTATTGTACACCTATCATCTCTCTCCTGTTTTTTCCTGCTTGCTTTTTCTTTATTAAATTTTGCCAGGGTAGATTTGATTGATCAGAAATGTAAATAGATACAGCTGACCTACCTACAAGTGAAACTCTGACCACGAATTGTCAAAGCACTTAGTGGAATTATTCCCAGTGGCAATAGGAAATAGTCACAAAAGTGAAAGAACTGCTGTAAGAGAAGTCTTTTATAGAAACTTTAAAAGTTTGCATGTCAAAAAGTGGTTAAAAATAATGGTCCTGGCCAGGTGTGGTGGCTCACGGCTGTAATCCTAGCACTTTGGGAGGCTGAGGCAGGAGGATTGTTTGAAGCCAGGAGTTTGAGACTAGCCTGAGCAAGAGTGAGACCCCCGTCTCTCTATCCCAGAAAAAAAGAAAAAATATCCAGGCATGGTGGGGTGGCACGCCTATACTCCTGGCTACTGGGGAGGCCTAGGCAGGAGGATTGCTTGAGCTTATTAGGAGTCTGAGGTTGGGGTGAGCTATGTTGATGCCACTACGCTCTAGCCCAGGTGACAGAGTGAGACCTTGTCTCAAAAAAAAAGGTCCTTGCCTTCTGTCTTTTTCATTCCAAAAGATTTATGAAAGCTGTTGAGTAGACTTTTAAAAATAAAATAATAAACATAACTTTAGTGAACTCAATTTTTTTGCAGAGGGATTACATGAAAACTCATCCCCCCAATTTTTATTTTGAAATACTTTCAGACTTTTTACCCAGATTTACCAATGTAATATCTTGCCACATTTTCTCTATCATCCTTTTTGAGAATGTGTATGTGTAATAGTTTTTTTTTTTGGAATCATTTGAGAGTTAAGGTCCAGACATCATGTGCTTTCTCCTAAA